GCAGCAGGAAGGTGTGGAGGGAATGGAGTAGATGTGGAGGCGAGGCGTGGGTAAGACTGAAGGAGGGGGAGAGGGTGGGTTGGGTAGGGGGAGAGAGAGAGAGAGAGAGAGAGAGAGAGAAAGAAGCCGATGTCCCACACGAGCCTGAACTGAGCGACTGTCAGGCAGCGCCACCTGCTGGTCACGGGAGGCTCCACAACAGTATATAACTCCACACTTACCTGATCGCTTCGGGTCAATTCAGGACAGAGATGTAGGGCCGTAGGTAAGAATAGGGTTTGGTGCCCCTGCGCCCCCCCCGCCCCCCACTCACAAACAGTACTTAATAGACAATAATTATTATAATAATAAATATAATAATAATAATAGTAATAATAATAATAATTATAATAATAATACAAAGACAATGAAAAATAATAATGACAATAAAATGAATAAGAAGGATAAGAATAGGAATAAAGACTAAAATACAGAAGAATAAGAAAAATAATAAGAGGAATTGAACCCCCAGTCTTATAATATAATATAGAGATAAAATACCAAAGGGTGAGTGTGGGTTTAAGTCACTTTCGTCCCAATGACTTGACATGTAACCAATGTCATTTTTTTCCAATTTCAATTTTTTTATATATTTTATTATTTATAGTTTTATTTTTAAAAGAGCTCAAAGCAGCTTTTTTTATTTTCTAATGTATTTCATTAATGTTTATTTTATTGAAATGCTTGTGTGTGTGTTGTGACATTAACAGTTCTGTCAAACATACTGTCTGTTGCTGGTTCATTTTACCGTGTCTGTAAAGATAAAACTGTGAGGAAACCACGAGTCGCTTTACACAACTTTATTGAAGATTGTGTATAAATACACATGCACAATTCAAATGTAAACCCAAGTGAACTCAAGTGCAGCCAAACCTGGAAACCCCCGCTATGTAATCATGCAAGGATGTTTTTATTGTTTGTTTGTTTGTTTGTTTTATTACAAAAAAAATATCTGAAAACAACAGAACCATCCTGTACTTTTTAAAAAATACTCCCTCCCTGACAAGAGCACAGGCAAGAGTGTTTTGAACTGGTGTTCCTGTGTGGACTGACGCCACGACGACCGCCTCCCCACACGTGGGGTCTTGCCGAAGTCTTAAATATATTGTCTGTTCATTATTAAATGCTTACATATAAATAAATAAACTTTATCAAATGTGCACTCACAGAGTGAACTCTTATGTACAATATTGTATAACTCTATAGTAGCAGTCGCATCTCACTCAGTCAGGACGGGGCGAGTCGGCCCGAAAAGCAAATTAAAAAAAAAAAAAAAAAAAGGCAGCTTACGGAGGAGAAAAGCTTGGAGATGCTCCTGACGGTTTGGAAGAGATCTGACAGGTGAGCTAACGATGCAGGTTTTACAGTAAAAAGATCATGGAGGAAAAGAAAAACATCAAGGCCTCCACCGCGGAGACTTGGGAGTTGCGACGGTGGAGGAATTACCCTGCAACAAACCTGAAAGACCTTTTTGGGCAGACTCACCCCGACAGTTTTCACTTTCTCTACAGCTCCACCTCACCGACTTCAAAGCTCAGGGAGAAGCATTTGTTTTCCCTTTTCTAGAAAGGAAGGCAATCAGCAGTACCCTTGAATTCATACAGCAAAGGTGAGGAAAAACCCATTATCCATCGCATTCAACCAAACCCAGAAAAAAAAAAACAGAAGCTTTGAAAAAAAATGAGAAAGAAGGAAAGAAAGATTTTAAAAAAAAAAAAAAAAACACATCTGGCCTCAGAAAAGCGTCGACCACGTACATCTGGTCAGTGTTCCATTCCACTCGGTTTACATTCTGGCCCTCGTGTGGCTCTTCGGAAAACTCTTGGATGACGTGGCTGCGATATTACAGGCAAATACTGACATTCTTACTCCAGCATATGTGTGTGTGTGTGTGTGTGTGTGTTGGGGGAAGAAGACGAGGACATGCAAGCAAGACAATGTGACCGATGTGCAAAGAAAAGGCAGCTGGTCTGAGATTAAGAGTTAAGGCCTTGGTGATCCAAACATAAGATGATGCATCTGTCAAATCACACGTGTTCCCAATCCCACAGCGCCCCCTTTTGAAGGATCGATTAATTAGTCACTGAACAGAGCTGTCACTTTTCCACCACCAAATCTTTGATTAAACCATTAACTCGACAGTCGTGAACGGGGTGCAATGTTTACTAAAATGCTTTTTGCTACATGCTAGCAGCTGTGAAGCTTGCTTGCCAACAGCAAAAACAAAGTACAAGCTTCTCCGGGGTTGCTGCTAAAACAGAGTGTCGATGCGGGAGTTTCTCTAGGGAAAGGAGTGTCAATAGTTGACAGGCAATTGTACAGGGAAAGCTGAAATGGAAAATGATGTCATCACCACTCTGACCAATCGTTTCAGTCGTGACACTGTTACTGACAATTTCATTTCTCATTCATCCACACTGCTTGATGGCTGGCAGCATAAAAACACAGTACGATCATAGGTTTCTTTTACAGCTGGGAAAATTTGGTTTAGTTGCCCTTACGGCGCCCACTGCTGGACGAGGGAGTAACTACATTCGTCTTGCCTACTGTTTTTTTTAAAGTATATTTTGGCTGTTGATGGAAAGCGACAGATGGAGACAGATGGAAAACATGACGTAGACCATGCAACAAGTGATGCTCAAGTCACACCTGACCGTACGGGTGTATTTGGGTAAATACTGTTGATGTTTAAACTGCGGAAAAGTGACAGCGCTGTTGTGAACGTGAAACATTTGAAGTTAAAGGGTTGAAGAAACAGTTTTGTGTCTGTACCATACTCCTGCGTACCATACTGTTCCTTTAGATCAGCGGTTCTCAAACTGCGGTACAAAGGCGCCCTCATGTGGCACTTGGGAAAATGTCTACGTGTGTGTTGCCAGTTGTAGTGTAATTAATTCTAGTGTTAATGCTAATGATACACTGAAATACCGCAACATTTCGATTCACGATTCCGTATCAATATTCTACAGCACTGTATCAAGTTTTTATCACCAATTCCCAGTCAGATATTCATGGCGTTGGAATCTTTTTCTTTTCTTTCTTCTCTAGTAATTCCAAATGTAGATCCCTCTGTTCCAGTGTTAGTGACCTGATGTTCAGATGGAACAGCAGGAGAGTCTGAGACTAGGATGACAGTTTTACTATAATTAAATATTTTTAAAAATCAACTCAATGTATCATCGCGACTATGGTGTTGCAGTATATCGCAATGCATTGTACGTATCTACTCTCGATACACACCCCTAACAGAGTAATCTCTTCCTCGTTGATACTGCGGTCAGCTGAATAGTGTAGCATTGTCCTGCTGTATTTAAATGTCAACCACACTGGTGATGGATATCACTCTGGAGGTGGAACGCAATGCGGAAAAGTTTGAGAACCACTGCTTCAAAGGAAAGTCTGACAGAACGACACGTTCTCCCGACTCACATTTGCATCTGAACGAGCACAAAGATGAATCTGTTTTGGTTATTTTTGGAGAAAGTGGTTGAACACCAGAACGCTAACAGCAAAACTAACACGGCCTTAGTTTGGTTTGTAAAAGCCCACAGCACAGAGAGAGTAGAAGCAGAGCCTTAAGTTACTGAGCTTAGAGCCGTGGTACTGGTTACTGAACCACCTTCAACTGCAAGATCACAGCAACAACAACAGCAACAGCAGCAGCAGCAGCAGCGAGTGCAGCAACAGTGACGGCGGTGGTGGCACAACACCAGGATCGTTTGGCTGATCGACAGGAACCACACGCACGTCACTTTTTTTTTTATGCTAAGTCCGAGTGCAGACGCGTCTCACCACTGGCTTTACTAAAGGCAGCTTCCTAAGTTTGTTTGTTTGTTTGTTTGTTTTTATAAATACATTTGATGGACGACGTCTTTGTTAAACAACTGCAGTGTGCCTGTCAAAAATACATTTTAAAAAACAAAAGGTGAATGGTTGGTGATTGTGCAAGATTAAAAACATTTCAGCGCATCATGAAACCCCCCCCATCCCCGTACGATTCAGTGTTTAAAATATTTACAAATGTATCTAAATGAGAGTAAAATGATATGCCAACAATGCATTGCTTTCAAATATATATATATATATATATATAAACATATATACTGTGTATATATATATACATATATGAATATATATTATATACATATACAGTATATATATACATACACATATACACACATACGTATATATATACATATATGTGTGTATAAATGTATATAGATACATATATACACACATATATATACATATATAGATAAATATATATATATATATATATATATATTTCCATTTCATATATTTATATGTGTGTATATAAAAATATAACAAATGAAGACAAAAAGCAGTGAGGAGGATTAAAGCCCTGTACGACTCATGATCGACCCCTGGTGACGTTCAGTGAGCAAATCCCAAACTGAAGGACGTGGCGATACAAACACACTCACACAAACACACACACACACACACGCGCAGTGATCCAACCACAGAGGAGGGTCCTGATTTCTTAAGAGTTGTACCGCGGCGGCTCCCTGACCTAAAAGGCGTCGCCTCCACAGCAGCTCCGCCTGTGGAGCGTCCGTGTCCGAGCTGCAGAGTGGATCTGGAGACACTCGCCGCCATGCTGATTGTCCATATGGCTTTGGATGGAAAGATCCCAGTTTCTCTCCATTTACCCATCGTCGCCCATTTCAGTTGGTTTTCATGGTGACGTCTCTATTGGGCTCCTGCTCTTCTTCTTCCTCCTCTTCCTCCTCCTCCTCCTCCTCCTCCTCATCTTCTCGTTCATTGTCGTTTTTCCTGCGCTGACTCTCGTACAGGTCGTCCTCGTCATTCGGCGCCGCGGCCGCTGACGAAGCACCCTGAGCGCAGGAGGCCGTCTTCCTCTCCCGTCCCTCCTCCTCCTCCTCTCCGTCTTCCTCCTCCACCTCTCCTTCTTCCTCCTCTTCCTCTTCTTCATCCTCCTCGTCCCGGTCCAGAGCGAAGTAGCCAGTGCCTTTCACCGTGTCCTGCCGCTGGTAGAACAACACGTAGCCAGCTTTGGACTGTAGACACACAGATAGAAGGGAGATCAAGTAACACTAATGAACACACAGTCGTCATGAAGTACTGCAATCACACCACTAGGGGACTCCTGTCTAATTTTCCAGATAAATCAAGTCTGATCAGACTCAGATTTGTATGTAAGGTAAAAAGTAAATATTATATTTGATTTCTATTCTTTTTTTCCTCTTCTGCCTCTTTTTTGCTGAACTATTCTTGGCTGTATTCAAGAACAGCGGCTCCCAAACTTTACCTCTAGCGCCCTCTTTTGTTGACAGGAATACTGTCAACCACTGAAATTCATTTACCGTGCTGCACTGTCCCCGCAATAGCTATGCGCCCCCTACTTTGGTAACCCATCCCTGGAGCAAACTTCTATCAACAATTTCTTTCATATCTGATATAACAACTGTCGTTATACTACGTAGTAGGTCGTTGAAGTGAAAAAATAAATCTCAACTAGTCTGAACATCGTAGATTCGTTAATCTCATTAAGATGGCTGTTCAGCCATTGATGAACGCAAAGTGGAACCGCACTGGTGTGATGTTTGTAAGAGTGTGCTCACCACTATTTGATCCTCGTTGGCCGGAGACACGCTGCTGTCATCAAAATTGTACCACTTTCCATCGTCTTTGTTTTTAGCGTACGCGGTATCTGAGCAGAAGACGAGAAGGAGGAAAAGAAAAAATTGCAAAAATATTTGCAAATCAGACACTTGATACAACACGAGTTTTACAGTTAGACATTTTTTGGCAACATAGTGAAATCAATACAGTGTAGACCAAATACGACAAAAGGACAAAAATGCATAAAAGTTCTATTTTCAAAGTTTCTGTGCGCTGCAAACTGAGAAAACTGAAGTGAGTCTGTGATTGGTCATAGGTCATGTGTTTGATCCTTACAGTGGCCGCCACCCATTCCTCCGTAGTGGTTGGATACGGCGATGAGGTCATAGCGACACGGCCCAGCGTTGGGGTTGATCAGGAACTCGGACATGTCCAGATCTCTGCAAGTAAATAATATTGGTTTGAAATTACTGTATGTTTTATAACAACTCCCTTGGTACAACATGGTGAACGGTTGCAAATAATTCAGTGCATCAAGGCCGGACTGAAGAGAAAAAAAAAATCAATGTGCTGCTGAAATAATACAGTGTGAAGTCAAGCCATCTGATATTACCATGACAGCACCATTCAATGTTATATAAAGACTGCACAGTCAATGACCTTTTATGATGCTGCAGTATGTAACTTTTGCATGCACAAAAAAAACATGTTTTATTACAAACAGTCAACACAACGTACATTATAGGAGTCTGCTGCTAAACAATATATATACATATATACATACATATACAAATATACATATATACACATATACATATACACACATATACACACATATATACATACATATACATA